TTGCATAATTCTTGTTGTGATGAAACTTAGTAGTAGTAAAGTTTTGGTATTAGGATTTTTTACTTTTCTGTCCATTGCTTTAGATCTGATCACCTAGCCAGGTTGGAATGTGTAAGTAAAATCCAGGTGCCTCAACTAAGGACACACGGTTAACCACTGATCTGTGTCTTTTACATGTTCAAGAGCTTTGAGGTCAACATAAGAGAGAGAGCTAAGCAGACTATAAAGAGAATGTTGTGAGGCATAGCGTGACAGAGCCCTGGAGACAGAAGCAGAGTAAAGGTTCTGCTTGCTGGATGGTTATGGGAAGAAGTTACTTGGGAGTGTTATGAGACAAAGCTTGCTGGAAGATTGAGAAAACCAGAGGCTTCTTGCATTTGCATTGCTGAACTGAAATTGGACTTTGAGTGTTTGCCTTTGACTTCCTCCACATCCCATCAACCTATTTCCCTAATAAATCCCACAACTTTTGCAATATATTTCAGACTCTGAGATTAGTAAAAGTAGTTGCAACTGGGGAGGGGGTGGCAGAGCGGCGGAGGGCAGTTAGAGAACCATGTCTGACTTTGTAGCTATTAGTTTGATACTGTGGGTATTGTTGATGGGTAGAGTTCCTCTTTGTGGAGTTAACAGAGATCGGATTCACCCTCCTCCAGGTTGTTCTTATTCCTTGTACAGCAGTTAAGCACTTCATTGCTAACTACAGAAAGGAAATTTGAACCACTAGCACCTTCTAAGCAGAAAGATGTGACGAGTCGTGTTTCTGTAAAGATTCTAATTCTAGAAACCGTTGAAGCAGCTCTACTCTATCTTAAATGTTACTATCAGTCGTAGTTAGCCTGACAGCAAGGCATTTAAGACAACTACATTCTTCAAGGCCATGCATCTCATCAAATCAAAGCAACTGGAAGAATGACTCAAAGAAGAAGAAGAGAGCATAGGTAGAATAAAAGGCAACATACTCCTTGTCATAATGACAAACATACCATTTTTTATTATTTTTTATTTGGTTGGCTATTAATTTTCTCATGCTGACTTTGGCTAAGGTGTCTGGAAAAATTATTGTGTTTTAAAACAAAATGCCTTCTCTTTTTAACCAAAGAAATTTTTAAAAAATAGCACAGAAAAAATTTGTGGTTACATATGGAGAGAAAAGGAAAAATAACTCAATTCTTGAGTAAATGTCAAAGATACTGACTATGTAAAATGGCATAGTCAGACTGTGTGCCTCTCAATAGCTTCTCCCCATCCCCACCTCATATAGGCTGTAATAGAAACGTTGTGATATACACACTTTAAATGTAAAATAGAGAACTCTAACTTGTTCAGATTTACACAGATGTATCTTTAAATTAGAATGGAATAGCATTAATCAATGGAAGAGATAAGTAATTGAAGTTTTGCAAATAACACTTGAACTCTGAAATGATATAGTTCTACTTCTAAATCTCTGAGTACATGCAATTCACAGAAAACTGCACAGTAGCTAAAAGCTTCCTAAAGCAAAGGAAGAGCCCTTGAGTCTTACACTAAGCCTCTGAAAGAAGAGGATTATTTAAAACCTTCTACCAACTTTTAGATGCACTGTCTTTCCAGAAATAATAAAGTGAAGACTCTCTTCTGTCAGTAATGATCAATTTAAAGGGATTTAATAATAACAAAAGACAATATTGCTTTTAATATAAGAATGGTATGAATATTAAATAAAAGAAAATTAAAAATACAATTAAAAATGGATATAAATATTAAATAAAAGTAGATTAGTTCTGAATGTGCAAAAATCTATCAAGAGCATTAAGTGCTTGTGTGGAATACTGTTTCGGTCCCCTTCAGGTCTCCAGCTTTTCTATTCCTGATACTTCTCTTGTTTTTGCACTCCTGATGCTTTTCTAGTTGTCACTGAATAATACTGAATCTCTAAAATTGGAAAGGTATACTTATACAATTTATCTTCAAAGAGTTATGTCTGCTTTTAATATTTGCACTTTAATGTTCCTTGTAAAATACCTAGAAAGGTAAAAATCTAAGGTGAAGACTAATTTTAAAAAGGAAGTAAGTGAAAGGAATTCCTTTCCTAGAGCAAAGTTAGAACGGAATGAAGAAGATGCCATAAACTGCATGTAACAGAACACCGGAAAAATTATAAATGAGTGTCAGCACATAAATACTAAGTTTTATTTATCTCTCAATTTTATTATCAAAGAAGTTCACATTTAAGATGCTATTTTAAAATGTGTGCTTGCAAATATTTGCATCAAAATCAAAATCATCAAGAAAATAATTTAGATATCAAATTTAGGGATGCAAACTCTGAACTATTGTCAGAAATATTAAATGTTAATAAATTGTCTGCTATCTTTTGATAAAGATTTTCAAATAATTAGAACATGTCCTTCTGAACATGTGATTTTTATACTGTACCCTTGTGATGACTTGCATGCTAAAGTTAGATTAAGAATGATGAACAAAGAGATTTTTTTAATATAATAAAGTATTCAAAATTAAAAAGGGAAAGGTATTATATGCACATTAAACTAAAAACTAGTTTTGATATCACTAGTAATGCCTGCAAACTTCACATAAGTCAGCGTTATGAAAGTGCAGCAAAAACAAAACAGTTATGCTCTTTTCCAAGAATGGGCTCTATAGAAACAAGAAATCTGAGGAGGAACCAGAAGAATAGTTAACAAAATGGGAATGCTTCACTGCTTAGGGACTTAAAATAATATGAAATAAAGAAAACACACCAATGGCTATTAAAAATAAGAATTAAACTTAAGAACCAAAGTCCAATATATGAATGCTATAGTCATACCTGAAGAACTATGGACAACACAGATAAACGTGTATGCATCAGATTTTTCTACTAAACACCCTTCACAATGTATTTCTGTTTAGCGCTCACAAAAGTCTGATCATTTAAATCCTCAATATATAAAGTTATTAAACAAAACAGAAACATTCTTTTTGAAGTTTATGAAGACCGTCTGCAGTGGGCAGTGATTTTTATTCACACAGGCTACTTAATGAAGATTGCTCCTTAAATTATCTACTAAAGAACATTATCTCACAGGTTGGTCCACGTTAATAGGGTTACAGGAGCAAATGGGAAATGGTATACTTCTTGCTCCTAATTTGGACATGGGAGGTACTCATTAGTATGTCAGGACTATGTGAGAATCCCTTCATTAAAGAAGTGTGTTCACAAGAGTCCACAATTAAGGTTGCATAGTGGAATGTACTTGGGGTGGTGGGAGGGGTGTGGGGGGATTGTGTACTAGGGAGGGAGTGTTTCTTTTACTTTTCAAAGAGAGGAGCGAACTTAGGGGTGGGGGAAGGGGGGAGGGCTGGGCAGGGAGACAAGTGCAGCAATGAATGAATGGAAATCCAAAATCACTGTAAATGTTCATTAAAATTATTAAAATAAAATAATAAAAAAACACCAAAAAACGTAAAAAAAACATGTATTGGGAAATTGAAGTCTGGGAAACACTAACACTCAACTTGACTCTCTAAGAATAGCCCTCTCTGATGAAAGAACTAGAATCTTTTGGTAAATGCTCTTTGAGATTGACTTCAGCACTGGACAGAGTGCTAAGCTAATAAGCTTCAACAACACACTTTTTTTAAAAAAGAGCCCCTATTTTATAAACTTTTAGAAATTTAAAACATTCCCATGAATATATTTTTTGAGAACAGTCAAACAGTATGCTTACATAAGCCATCATTTGCTTTCTAAAATGATGAGAGGTATATCTTAAAGACCTTGCAGGCCTTGGTGGTCCTTACATATAATTAAAATTCATTTACTTCAAATAAAATATTGTTACTCTCAGGCCAAACATGCAACTTAAAGATTTCATAAACAATAACTGTGACTCATCACCCATATATAACTTTAAATACCTGCTATTCCCTGAACAGTCAGCACCAAATCACTTTTATTTTAGACCATTAAAACAGCAGTTGACTGTTTAACTTGCTTCATTCCTTCATGATAACCACTGTAAAACCACAGAGCAGTCTACAAGCTGATGAAAGCTATCAGTACTCAAAGGGCAAACTTATCTTCTCTAGAAGAGTCTCCCAATGGTTGGGGTTTTTTTCTCAACAGTTTTTTCTCTAGACATAATGTTAGCTCCTTTGTCTTCCAGTTTAACTAATTAGACTCAGAATTAAAAGTAAAGTCAGTGATAGAAATTGTTTTTTTCTCTAGTCAATACTGTGCCCTTTTGCTGTCAGAATGTCAGGCTTTGCTTTCAAATAATTAAGTAACCTAAATGGGCATGCTGCTAGGACAGGTTATTGCTTAGAGAGGGATATCAAGCTTGGGAAGGTGAAAAGACTGAGGAAGAGAGGAAAAGACCCTTAACTAGGTGGGTTTCCACAATGACTGTGGCAAAGGGCTTGAGTGTGTGAGAGACTGAGAGGATAGTGCAGGATAGGACAGTGTTCAGATCAATAGTCCATAAGGTGGCAATGAGTCGTACTTGATGACACCTAACAACAACACAGTAACAATAAACTAGAAGAAAGAGAGAGAACTAGTCCACCAACATTTCCAATATAACACAGAAGTAAAAATGTCAAATCACACAACTAAGTACGAGTTATGGTCGTGGGACTTGTTAAAACACAGCACCAAATTCCAAATTTAGTACATACATAGAATTTAAAAAAAAAAAAAAGCTACTTACATGGAATTAACTGAAACCCTCTATTTTTATTTGTTTTATCTGACAAGTCTATTTGAGCTATATAATAATATATAAAAAGTATTTGCCAAGTTTAATCTTTTATATGTTTAAAATACTTGTGTCTTCTTTTTCCTGAGTCAAGAGGTTTGACCCACTTATCATTACAACACATGAATAAATGAACAATTTTCCAGATAAAATTTTCCTTATTCTTAATACCCCTTTGCTGTTAACAAAACCAGATTCCCAACATTAAAACTGTAGTATAGAAAATATTCAGAAAAAAAATCAACACTTACTTACCTGTGAGTAATATATGAGGAGGCTGTACAATAAAATATTTCTCTTTTTCACTTCTTTTGCAAATTCTCTAATTCTCAGTAAGCTTTCCATTTTCCCTCCAAAAGGTACTGAATTATAATCAAGGAAATGAACCTGTAAAATAATAGAAATAGCAAGAGTTAAGAAACCATTCTCGTGAACTTTCCTTTGGAAAAATAGTGTTAACAAAGCTCAAAACACTTTCAATTATTATGAATAATGAAATTTAAAATTTAGTTATATGTTTTAGCTTGTGCTAAGTTTTATTTAAAATATAATATATGCCATCATATACTTCTCTTTAAAAGTTGATATTATATAAATATTTTTCCCTGGAAAAGGCAAAATGCAGTGTGATGGTAGAAACACAAACCTCATTCTGACATGTTATCGACAGAACATAATGCATTTTCAACATTTTGTGCTCAATGAGTGTTAACTACATCTGTACTTACAGAAGCACATTTATGTGTGTGTGATGGCAT